ACAGGCTTGCGCCCTATGGAGGTCGTCGCCTAGCTCCGCGAGCTTAGGCGAGACTGACAGGCTTGCGCCCTATGGAGGTCGTCGCCTAGCTCCGCGAGCTTAGGCGAGACTAACAGGCTTGCGCCCTGCACACACATCACATATGAAAAGAGTTAAGCTGAAAACACTTCAAATGCAATTTTATTACTTGTCTCTCCGAAACATAACCAATAACAAACGAAAACAATTAAAGATAGCATGTCTCCAACGACGCATAATATTTCTTCAAATGTGATATGTTCCACAGTCGTGGCAACAACCGTCCATATATCAATCAACTTCAATCAGCTCGTCCCGGGAGCTCCTCCCCAACTCTTGTTTCTTGTCTCGATGGGAACACTCAAGTAGGTCATCATTCCTTTTCTTGTTCTGGGCCTCGACTGTCTTCAATGTGACCTCATAACACCGCCGAGATTGCAGCTGGTCTCCTATCATCTCTCCAACTTCATTCCCTACGGGGAACTTGACCTTCATGCAATAAGTCGACACAATAGCCTGAAATGAATTCAATCTCGGTCATCCTAGTATGATGTTATATGCCGAGCTAGCATCCACGACCAAGAAGCGAACTATCTTCACCTTTCTCAGAGGTGACCTTCCCCATGCCACCGTCAAGCTAACTTCGCCTACGGCGCGAACCTCACTACAGCTGAAACCATAGAGAGCAGTGTGGACCGGCTCGACCTTCAAGTCTAACTCCATCTGTTGCAAGCACTTCAAGAAAATGATGTCTGCCGAGCTCCCCGTATCTATGAGCACTCTTTTCACATCGTAACTGACCACCTCCGCAGTGATGACCAAAACATCGGTATGTGGTACAACGAGCCCTTGCACATCATCAGCTTCAAACTTTAGAGTGGCCGAGGTCCTCTGCTCCTGCACCTCGGCCACCTCATTGGCAACACCCTTTCCCCGGTAGGTCCTCTTCCTCTCCCTATGCGAATATCCATCTGTAGGGCCTCTCGCGATCATGTGTATTATGCCCTTCTTAACTGGTCCGTCAGGGTGCTCACCAGTTCTCCTTCGCTTGTCACCTGAATCGCGCCCTTCCCGACGATCATCCTGGCGCTCCTTATTCTTGATCATGAACTCCTTTAAATGGCTCGGCCTTGATGAGCCGCTCAACTTCATCTTTCAACCCTCGGCAAAAATTGGTAGAGTGGCCATAATCGCGGTGGTACCGACAATATCTATCCTTTCCTTCTGAAAATTTCCACGGTGGGGGCAGAGGCTTTGGTTGTCCGAGCAGCTTATCCTCCCCCCGCTTCTCCATCATCTCCAGGATCTCCTGTTGTGGAGAATTAAGTAGTTTGTAGTGCTCGTACCTTGGACCTTTGAATCGATCCTCGACTCGAGACTCCTTTGGGGGAGCTCGTCGATCACCCTGTCGAGGCCTTTCCTCCACCTACTTAGCCTTTGTTTTAGCATTTTGGATGAAGTCCGCATCTGATTCTTCCATATTCACATACTTGCAACACCTCTCGAAGAGCTCGTCAAATGACCTTGCTGGCCGCTTCGCCAAGGAATCCCTGCATTTCCCAGGTCTCAGGCCCCGCGTAAGACCTCCAGCTTTGATTTCTTCTGAGGCAGAGGGCACCTCCACGCACTCCATAGTGTACCGCGCTACATATTGCCGCAAGGTCTCTCCTTCCTTCTGCTGCATATTAATCAAAGAGAGATATGTCTTCTCGTGCTTCATGGCACTCGCGAACTGATTCAGAAACAGAGAGCTGAACTTCTCAAAGCAATCGATAGACCCTGCTGGCAGCTGGTGGAACCAATCTTGCGTTGATCCCTTTAAGGTCGTAAAAAGGCTCGGCAACTCACAGCATCACTGTACCTGTGCAACACGGCTATGTTGTCAAACGACCTCAAATGCCTTGCTGGGTCCGCCGATCCGTCATAGGACAAACTTAACTCCCTGAAGTTGCTAGGCAAATCCCCTCCTAAGACATCTTCGGCGAAAGGGTGTCCTCGTGACACAATAGGTCTCTTACCCTGGACCCGAGCTTGGAGTTCTCGCATCTGGGCCGCCAACCTCTCCAAGGTTAACCCATCCGGCTGTGCTGTTGCCACCAGCTGGGAGATCACCGATCTAGCATCATCATCACCGACTCTCTCCGAATGTTGGTGCTGCTGCGGATGCAAGGGGACTTGTCGTTGAGGTGCTAGTGGCTGCCGTGGCGGAGGTTGTCGAAACGACTCATTAGGAGCTCTCTTACCCACCTCTTGAGCCCGGCCTATCGCCTCAGCAATGATCATGTCCAACTCCGACCTGGTCATCTGAATAACCGGGTCCTCCCGTGGTGCCGAAGAAACATTGTCCCCCGTAGGGTTTTGTGCTCCTACCTCGACCAACTGCCTACTACCAAGGGCACCATTCTGATCACCAGCACCTCCGGATCCCAAAACTCCTTGATTCAACCCCCCATCAACCGTGGCGCCAACCTCCTTCCCTTTGTCTGTCAAACCACCTGATCCTCCCGTGTTCGCCGCGTGCCTCTGAGCTTCCGATGGTGGTATCGGGGTTACGAGTGGGCCCAACAGCGTCTCTTTGGGGGTGACAGGTGAGGGTGACCATCCTGGCGGGGGACCTGTCCCAAAGGCCCTCTGCGCCCACTCCTCATCCATCTCCTTAGCCAAGCTCTTCTGCGAATTATCTCCCGCCATGACTCCTCTTGTTTATTGAGAAAAAACAGCCTTTGGAATTCCGGTAGAAGACTGAGACGTCCCCACAGACGGCGCCAATTTGTTATAACACAAATACTCGAACTGTTGGACCGCTCCTCTCGAACTGTGTTGCGTCTCCTTGATCGTCGGTCCCTGCAACGCATGCCGGGGGTGGTCCTGGCGCGAACACTCCGACGCTCAAGTCAGTGATGGTCTAGAGAGAAAAAGGGCGGAGTAACGAGATAACTCGTGTATGTGTGTTCTGTAAAATGAATGAACCTGCTCCTTTTTATAAGAAAAGTTTGGAGAGTCCTCATGAGACAAGAAGTCTTCCTCATGTAAGTTAAAAGATTACGAATTCGTAGTCCTTAAAGCTGTGAACGTCTTCATGACTTGAGCACAAGACTACCTCCAAACTCTTGTCCCCTCGGCAGAGCCCTTTGGCTTAGCCGCCTGAGTTCCACGGTACCTAGCTACCTAGATAGGTCGTCGCGCCTCAGCAGGTCGCCGCGCCCCAAGAGATCGTCGCACCTCAAGAGATCGTCACACCCTGGTAGTACCCTTGATAGCATCCCCAATACCCCCTCATATGATAGTGACAACCGAATTATGACCAGTCCAAGCCTAGCCATTACTAATGATCGTATCACAACCGATACTTCATAAACTGTTACAGACGACTACATCAATTTTATTTTTTATTTTTATCGCTTATTGTTCTCTCGTGAATACATGCCACATTTTAGCTGCTCAATTTCTTAGCCTTGGCTTAATCTTGAGAGAGAGAGAGAGA